CGACATTATTTGATCTCACAATCTCATATGGATAGAGTGATCTCATCTGATCATATATATATATATATATATATATATATATATATATATATATATATATATATATATATATATATATATATATAACCTAGGCTCATAATCATCTAAGAATATATAATGGCGACGATAGTTTTAGGCACAATTTGCTAAGCTCACAACAGATACCCGCAGTGGTGGAGCCACATGAAACTTGCAGGAAGCCTTCCCGCCCCACCCCCACCCCCCCCCCCCTCCCTCCCAACCATTTTTTTTATATATAATCAGTATTGTAGTTTTTTTTTTTTTTTTTGGCCCTCCTCACTAAATATTTGTTATTTTGCTCCCCTCCAAGCAAGCTTCTAGGATAACTTTGTGGATTGCTAATTTGCTATCTAGTTAGTCTTTTAATTTGTAAATGAAATACATTGCAATTGTGTTTATTACAATAATAAATTGTCATTTTGCTATCAAAATCTTTAAATTTCTTCTACTTTAATCTTTGTCTTTTTAATTTGCAAATGAAATACATTGCAATTGTGTTTATTATAATAATAAATTATCATTTTACTATCAAAATCTTTAAATTTCTACTACTTTAATCTTTGTCTTTTTTTAATTTGCAAATGAAATACATTGCAATTGTGTTTATTATAATAATAAATTGTAATTTTGCTACCAACATCTTAAAATTTCTACTACTTTAATCTTTGACTATTTTTTTTTTTTCAGTTTTAGTTAATTCTATTGATTTGTCAAAAACAAAAAACAAAAACAAAAAAAAAAACAAAAAAAAAAATAAAATTAACACTGTGAACATCGGAAGTTTGAGTTGAAATGAAAAAGACACAAATAATTGATCAATTGTGTTTATTATAATAATAAATTATCATTTTACTACCAAATTCTTTAAATTTCTACTACTTTAACCTTTGTCTCTTTTTTTTTTTATTTGCAAATGAAATACATTGCAATTGTGTTTATTATAATAATAAATTGTCATTTTGCTACCAAAATCTTTAAATTTCTACTACTTTAATCTTTGTCTATTTATTCTTTTTTTTTTCAGTTTTAGTTAATTCAATTGATTTGTCAAAAAAAAAAAAAATTAACATTGTGAACATCGGAAGTTTGAGTTGAAATGAAAAAGACACAAAGAATTGATCTTTTCTTTAAAAGAAAGAATTATGAAATTCAACATCTCAAGTAAATTCATTTACAAGTATTGAGCCATTAAATTTTGAAAAACATCTCAAATTTTAATAGATTTGTAATATAATGATGTATTTTGAAAGATGTTAAATAAATACTAATATGTTTTATTATTCTCTCTTCAAATTATGATTGGCCCCCGCAGCCACAAATCCTGCCTCCGTCCCTAGATACCCGGCCTTAACACATTTCATACCTCACCTTTTCTAAAAAAACTATTAGCTTCGCTTATATCTTTACTTTCAAGATCTATCATCATCTTTGTTCGACCAATGTTTACACAAATATTTTGAACCATTATTTTTTAGACCAGTAAAGGTTTGCAAAACCTCTATCATGTGAAGCAGTATTGTTTGCAAATTAAACATGGTGTTATATTTGCAGCGCACTATAACACGAAGGCGGGCTTAAAATTTAAAAGGCAATCATACTTTTTTTTTTTTTTTTTTTTTTTTTTTTTTTTTGCACAAAGTAAGATGACTTCCTTGGAAAATGAATTGCAACAAGTCATAAGTATTTTTTTCACAAGTCTTCACTTGCTACTCTTTCTCCTTCTATACTAACTTGTGGACTGAACTTCTAGATGTTGATCTTGATTGTTGCTTGAGTCTAGTGATCTTGATCTTGGCCTTAAAGCCTTAGGAATTATTCTTTTTCTACTGGTAAGTTAGATAGCACTTGAAATCTCTTGCACTCAAATACTTTGAACTTTGGATGTCCTCTTCTTGAATTCGAACCATTTGTTTGAAATTAGGTCAATAATTTTTAAAAGCTTGAGTACCAACATGCATTGTGGTCAAGGGTCACATATAACTCTTGGATAGGGATGACAATGGGTCGGGTGTGGGTCGGGGAGGGCAGGGCCGTATTTTAAGTTTTGGTGGTCCTGTTCTAGTAAATAAATGTGGCCCTACTAAAATCATAATTTTTAAAACTAATACATGCAAGTTTCGAACCTTTGACCTCCAAGTTAAAATACAATAAATACACATTCTTACCATCTCTTTATGAAACCTTTAAAGTTTAATTGAAAACTTTTTAATTTATATTTTTAAACTAGCTACGTAAAAATTAAATATTGAACCTCTAAAATTTGGGGCCCCTCTAAAATTGGGGGCCCTGTGCGGTAGCCCAGCTTGCACAGCCTAAAATCCGGCCCTGGGGAAGGGCTACATCTATCACCCGACCCACCTTATATTTTCTCCACCCACCCTCACCTCCAACCCGCATCGGGTGGACTTTTTCAGAACCCACCCCCACCCCCACCGGGTGCGGGTGCCCACTACGGGTACCCACCACTTATCATCTTATTAAGTTTTTCAAAAAATAATATTTAAATTATTTACACATAATAAAAAAAATAAAATCCATTAGTGATACTAAAACATAAATAATGGAAATATTTAAATATAATAACTAAATTGTTAATTTTTAAAAATAAACTTAGTAGTTTTGATATAAAAAATAGTAAAAAGATACACGAAGTTATATAAACTTTTATAAATAACTACATACTAGTACTTAATTTACTATTATATATATATATATATATATATATATATATATATATATATATATATAAACACACATGGTGGGTCGGGTGGGGTTCTAGGCGGGTCTTGTACATAGAACCCGAATCCAACCCGACCTACCGCGGGTTTGCTTTTTTAAGACCCACCCCCGACCCACCACCCACCATCACCCAAAAAAACCCGATCCATGCGGGGTGGATTCGGGTGGATATCCACGGGTCGGATTGAAATTGTCATCCCTACTCTTGGACAATAATGCATTTGACTCTTTCTATATATATATATGAGCTAATTTTTTTTTTTATCTACGCTCCGAACCTATAAAATGATAGTATAGCCTTACATTAACATAAACACATTGTTTTTAACCAATGTTTTAACCAAAGAAAAAATGGTATTGTAGATTGATATTGAAAATGTATTGATTTTGAGATAGATGTGAATAACTTAAAGAATTATTGATATCTTTAATCAATATGTTGAATCAATTACTAAGGTGCCAAAAATAAAAAAGAATTGCTTAATTCAATCTTTATTAACTAACGATTTTGGTTAGACCTCCAATGAATTGAAATACAATTATTGAACTAACAAAACAAGATCATTTTTTTTTTAAGGAATAAGGGTCAAATAGGCCATTGAACTGCACACAATAATGCAATTAGGCCACCGAACCTAAAAAAGCTATAATTAGATTCCTAAACTAACCATTTTTTTTGCAATTTGTCTATTTTGTAAGTTTTCTAAGTTACTAGCAGGTCACCTTTAATTTAAAATATTTTTAAAAATATTTATTATTTAAATAATTATTTTAAATTTAAAAAAAAAAAAAAAAAAAAAAGATACAGATCGTCTCCGGCCATTGATTCGTCTCCATGGCCGGTCTCTTCGTCTCCGGCCATGGAGACGATGAGTCTCTTTGTCTCTGGCCGGAGGTGAAGATAACTTCTTCGTCTCCGACCATGGAGATGAATCCATGGCCGGAGACGGTCTGTTTTTCTTTTCTCTTTCTTTTTCTTTTTCTTTTTTTTTAAAAAAAAAATATTTTAAATAATTATTTAAATAATAAATATTTTAAATTAAAGGTGACCTGCTAACAACTTAGAAAACTTACAAATTAGACAAATTGCAAGAAAATTGTTAGTTTAGGGATCTAATTGTAACTTTTTTAAGTTCAGTGGCCTAATTGCATTATTCTGTGCAGTTCGATGACCTATTTGACCCTTATTCCTTTTTTAAATTCATTATTTGTACGTGTGAGAATTTGAAATTCTAATATTTATTATGTATGCATTTAATACATACTCAACACAAAATTACTTCATATACTCTTAAATTTTCCATACATTTATTACGCAAGGGCAGAATAAGAAAAAAATATACGGAGTAACTTTTAATCATTTAATTAAATATACACTATATATGATAAATTTAATCTTTATATTTGGTGAAAATTGAAAACCAATTTTAGAATTTCAATAAGTGTATGTTATTGTAATAAATATTCTTCTCGGTTTAATAAAAATTATGCATTTACCTCATATTTTAAGTTTTCGATTCTTTGTTTTTTTTTTTCTTTTCTTTTCTTCTTTTTTTCTGTATTCCATTCTCTATTTTTATTTCCTAGTGTGGAAAACATATTCAGTAGCACTAATATAATCAACTACATTCATTTCCAAATTCAAAATTTCAAGAACATATACAAAATTATAAAATTAATCATAAATTCAAATTATTGAGTGATTTTTTATATCAAATATTCAAATTATTTTTGGGCGTTTGATTTAAGTGGAGCATATACAATTTTTAATTTCTAGTCTAGAATATTTGAAATTTTAACATCCAATATCAAGGTCATGTATGTTGCTATATACACCTAGTCTATAATATAAGTAATGATATATGATGAGATCAACTAGTGAGTAAGCGCAACAATTTGTTCAGCTTTGCTTTTAATAGTAATAGTTGTATATATATGCCAGCAAAATCAGCTTTTAGCATGCAAAGACGGCTTTTTTTGTGGGCCCAAATTATTTGTTCTAACTTGTTTTATTGCGTGACGATTTAAGACTAATCTACTGAATTTAACTCACCTTAACATGTGAAAGCTGTAAAGTATGCTTCTTTGCGGACTCAAAATAATTTGTTCTAATTTGCTTTTCCTTGGAAGGTTCAAAACTAGCTCACGAAACTTTTAACATGTACCCCTAGCTAGTTTTACTCCTTCCGCTTCCGTTCTTCACTCCCCTCTATAAGAGTTTCCGTCTACGACCAGATACCCAGACCTCCACTCACGCCACTGCTTGACTACTTCTGCCTTTGCCCTCATCGGCTACCCAAGGTAATAGTATATTAGTATCTAGTTCTTGTTTATTTTATTTTCTTGAATTTATAGTTCAAGTTAAAATTTTAAGCAAGAGAATTAATTACCTTACAAATTGGATTCATTTTTGGGGTTTTGTACTTTTTATGTGATAACAAATTTGTTTTTAAAAAGAAAAATCAAATCTTTTTTTTTCATGCTAATGGTGTTGATTTAATTTAAATTGTTTGATGAGTTTATTGTGTTTCAAACTATTTTAGATTTATGTACTGTTTGATATGTTTTTGAATCAAGCATATTTCTCCATATCTCATGACTTGATTTAGTGAATAGTTTAATTAAATTTTAATTGGTATTTGGCCTATATATAATCTATATTTGAATATGTTTACCCATTGAATTCAAGCTATATATGCAATTTTCATTCATTTAATAAATTACTTCCGTTGTATTTTTCACGTTTTTTAATTTTTATTTTTTGGTAAAAATGATTTCAAACTTTTTCGATTAAAATTTGTGTATTTTGATCAAACGAACAGATCAATTGATAGGTCTCACAGGGAATAAAAATTAGAACCTTAGCTTGTACCAATTTGGCAAAGAATTACTCCCAAAAATATACTTTGTATGAAATTCAATTCTATATATGTTATTGTTGTTTTCTTATATCTCTCCAATTAGAGATTTTGGTCGGTTAACACATGTATGTTGATTTTCTCGAACTTGCTCAGTTATTGCATGGATCATGGTCCACACAGCTGTGTTGACAACGGCCCAAAAACGACGTCGTTTTATTAAATGTTATTTTTTCGAACACCTAGCTGTAACATACATTTTTATAATTTATAATGTACATTATTCTAAAACATAATGTACATTATTCTAAAGCAGAATGCACATTATTTTAAAACATAATATGTGTTATGTTACCTTAGATGTTTCATTATTCTAAACACGTAATTTACATTATTTTAACACATGATGTATATTATTCTACACATAATATACATTATTCTAACACATAATGTACATTATTTTTACTCATAATATTCACGACGATATTTTGGACCCTAGTCCACACAGCACATAGTAATTGTTGATCTTGATTGTTGCTTGAGTCTGTTCTTGATCTTGGCCTTGGAGCTTTAGAAATTGTTCTCTCTTTATTAATCAGCTAAATAGTTTTTGAAATCTCTTGCACTCAATACTAAGAATTTTTTATCAAAAAAATGACCAACCCTTTATCTATCTTGAGTCAGGCTATGTATAGATGCCTTTGAATTTGTTCATTGGAGAGAAAACAAAATTCAAATGGCTATCAATCTCCCATATGCAGAGAACAGTGTACAGTGTAGTTGGTTCATGGTTGCCCTCTTTTTGAATTCAAGCCATTTGTTTTACATTAGGTCTTAAATTTTTTGGAGCATAACACGTGTTTTATATATTAGTATTTTTTATGTGCGATGCGTAAAAAATAGGTGCCCAACATTAGTTTTTATTAAAATTTTAAATTTATTTAGATTTTAGATATTTAAATTATTGTAAATAATAATAATAATAATAATAATAATAATAATAATAATAATAATAATAATAATAATAATAATAATAATAATGTAAAAAGTTTTTATAAATTTGATATTTATATTTTAAAAATAACTAACATATAATTCCAATATATAATGTGTATATATTATTATTATTATTGAAAAAGATAAGAAAATATATGGTGGATGCATGCGTATGGTAACAATTGTGAAAAAGATAACGGAAGTTATAACGGTAAGGGTATGTTTGTCCAAAATATTGTAAAGTACAACTTTTATAGCATAATGTATAAAAAAAATTAACGAAAAAAATGGATATAAATGAAGGATATAACATTTATTCACACTTCACACTTATTATGTTTTTAGATGTGCACTGTTATTTTTCACTATGTTTCGGACCTATAAAATGATAGTATAGACTCTAACACACAAATTATAAGTTTATTTTAGATCATGCAAACATAAAATTATTTCTTTGAAACAAGAAAAGGTGGTATTGTATATTGATGCTTAAAAATACAATAATTTTGAGATAGATGTCAATAACTTTTAAAAAATTATTGATATATTTAATCAATTACTAAGATGCCAAAAATGTTAAAAGAAATATTTAATTCAATCTTTATTAACTAACCATTTTGGTTAGACCGTCCATGAATCAAAGTACAATTATTGAATTAACCCAACCACATTATATTTTTGTTAATTCATTTGTTTAAAATTTTGAAAATTCTAATATTTCTCATGTGTGCATTTAATACTTAATACAGAAATATCTCATACTCTTAAATTTGCAATACATTTATTATGCAAGGGAAAAAATAAAAAATCCTATTCAATGTATTTATAAAAATATACTATATACGATAATCTTTTTATTTGGTCAAAATTGAAAAATAATTTTGGGATTTCAATAAATGTATGTTATTGTATTAAATATTCTTTTAATTTTTATAAATATTGTGCATTTACATTATCGCTCGTATTTAAAGTTTTCCATATTTTTATTTTATATATATATAAAAAATTGTTTTGCACGAGTTAGTTTAAACATCCGAATGAAATATGTAGAGAAGATATTATGTAGGAGAGTCAAACTCTAGATCTTGTACAAAAGATATGAAAATCCGATAGAATTAGAACTTTGGAAAATTGCATGCTTCAGAAGATGTACCAAAGTTAATCGAAATGATGTTCCAAAGTTAGAAGAGTTTTCAAGAGTCAGAGTAAAGTCTTCAAAAAGAAATATACATGAAGAGAAAAAATAATGTAATAAAGTAATGTCCATTATGGAAGATATATTGTAACCAAAGATGTATTATGATGTCAGCCTGCGAGACAGCCCCAAGTTGGTAAGTCTGCAAAGCCCACTTTCTTTACGGGCCAAAAATTATTTATTCTAATTTACTTCACGACGGGATGATTTAGGATAAGTTCACGGGATTTCACCCGCTTTAACATCCCTAGTTTTACCCTTTCCACCCCTGTTCCTCGCTCCCCTCTATAAGAGTTTCAGCCCTCCTCTAAACACTCAGACATCCTCTGTTGTATTGCTTCTGCTTTTGCTCTGGTCTTCTCGTTCTCCTTCCAATTTTGATCACTTAAGGTAAATTACTAAGCTAGTCTCGTCAACTTGGATTTTGAGTTCAAGTTTAAAAAAAAAAATGTTAAGCAAGAGAATGACATTTCAAATTGGATTCATTTTTATTTTTATTTTTTTGGATAAAGAATTTGATTCATTTTTGGGTTGTGTACTTTATGTGATAGCTACTTTAGAAAGATCTTCTCTTTTTGTGCTAATGAGTAGGTGTACTTTTCATTTTCGATTTTGACAATGGGCTGACTTAGTCATGCTAGATGGACCTTTGGTGAATGTTGAGACCAAACGGTTCAAATTGTTTTATGAAAAAAGGCATAGTTTAATTCATTTGTTGTTTCATATTTATTGATTAAATTTTAATTGTACGGTGAGTTTATTGTGTTTCGAATTGTTTTAAATTTGTATAAAGTTAGATACGTGTTTGATGGAACATCAAAATTAAATACTTTACACTTATAACACTTACACTTGCGCGCACTTATAAGTTTTGGTCAAATCATATATTTAGGGACAGATTCATTTGTTTAAAAAAAAAAAAAAAACAATATAGATTGATGTTGAAAAGTAATAAGGATTTTAAGATAGATTTCAATAGTTTTAAAAAGTATTGATATCTCTAATAAATATGTTCAATCAATTACTTAGTTATTCAAATTTCAATGTTGTCAGAAATTTATTCCTTTTTATCTTTATTAGTTCAAAAAAAAAAAAAAAAAAAAAAAAAAAAAAAAAAAAAAAAAAAAAAAAAAAAACTCAAAAGCTCTTGTAAGATTCACTCCTCGTTTGATAGATTTAATATGTTATTTTAGTAAAGTTTTAAATTTTCCATTTTAAGCCTAGCAATTGTTGATAGTTTTCAAATTATGCTTTGGTTTTTCACAAGCCATAGTCAAGAGGACCATGGCTGATTACATTTTGAAAGTTTGAAGGACTAGACCACGGATGACAACAATTTAAAAGTCGAAGGATTTCGCACATGTAGTCAATTTGAAAGTTTAGGACTAAACGTAGCAAAATCACTATACTCGAAGGACCACATATGACATTAATTTGTTTTTTAATAAATCACTAGTTGCATTTTTATTTTTTATTTTTGTAAAAAATAATTTGAAACTTTTCTCATTCAAATTTTATACTTTGGTTCATTCTTAAATTTGAATAATTTGAAATTATACAGAAATTTTATCATCAAACAACCCCCATGGATAAAGGAAAAACCAAAAATATTGGTTTGGATCATTCTGAAGACTCCAAGGATAAGCCTTTCACCATAAGGTATGCATTTTGAAATACATATATATGTTTATATTAAAATTTTAAATGTCTCGACTTATACAACAATTAGTACTGTTTATATATAATTTCTTATATAATCGATACATGATTTTTGTTTCAATAATTGAATCCATATATATATATATATATATATATATATATATATATATATATATATATATATAGTATTGAATCTTAAATTGTATTTAGTTCAAATCAATTTCCATGATCTGCTAAAATGAGAAAGAAAAAAATATATTGTGATATGTTGTTAGGAATAAGTGTAATAGTAGATTTGATCAAAAAAAAAAAAAAGTGTAATAGTAGATTTTGATTTGCAATGTTAAAATAGGATAAGAAATTAAATTAGAACCTCTAAATTTTTAATAGAAGTCATAATATTGAACACTATAGAGTCAAAAAATGTCACTCAAAAGGGTTAAAAATTACTTAAAAGTAAAATATTAATGAATTATATATACACCATATTCCACCAAACTAAATGATCTAAGATACATAAAAAAAAAATCATTATAAATATGGTATTAGAAATAAGTACAACTAAGAATATAGATCACGCACACTCATGAGAACTATTCTTCATGAGAGCACTAAGAATCAATAAGATTTGGTCCATCCTGAAAAGATGTAACCAACGTGCACTAACTTCTAGATATAATAAAATAGTAAAATACAATTGATATTGATGATTTTGTTGGGGTCTGGGTGCATCATAAAATCGGATATAAAAGTATGGAACGGGATAGGAAAATAGTAGTATTATTGTTCAGGATGCTAGATTCAAAGGAGTGCGTATAAAGTCCAAGGTACTGGCCAAAAGTGGCGGCCCAAATAATAAATACTCGAACCCTGGTATATATGAGCTAAAGGTTAGGACCTCAAGCCATTGGACTAGGGGGATTGAGTGAACGAAGGGATGATATCTAAAGTGAGACAATGGACCCCATTTATATTGTTAAAGACTTCACGCATGCTTGACAAACGACACTAGCTTGCCTTCATTCTTGGCCTGTCCCCTCCTCCCCCCACCCCCACCCCCCACTGCCTGGATGCTAGCAATTTTCACATGGCAAAGTAGAGCATCCTGCTTTTGATATTTGAAATTTGAGTAGCTTGGGTGGTTGGTACTTGTGTTGTTAGGTGGGAGATTGTGGGTTCAATACTCCCCGAGTCCTCGATAAGGTACTAGCTCTTATAATATTTTACTCCAACCTTTCTTCTTTTTTTAGCCCAATAGATCTCCATTATTCTTAATGAACTAACACATCACCAATAAATTAAAGATGGACACTCCACTTAGACTGTTAGGCCAAGACTTTCCCATAGATATTGTTGTTGAGTGCACTCAAAATGTCACATTATTATTTCCTTGCTTCAGAGCCGCCGAGTTTTCTAGATCCACCGATGGATAGAATTAGAATTGGCTCCCAATCTTGTGAGAACCTATGCCTGGGCGAGAAGTAATGAAATATGTCGATGATGATTATTAATGTATTTCTTAATGATAATAATAATGATGATTATTATTATTATTTTAATGTAATTGTTATATATGCAAGCAGGGGTTATGTTGCTGAAATGAAGAAAAAGAACCCAGAATTGTGTTCACCATTTACTCCAACAATATCAAAGAAGAAGAGAAGTCCAGAATTGTGTTCACCATTTGCTCCAATATCAAAGAAGATAAAAAGTGAAGAATTATGTTCACCATTTGATCCAGTACCAAAGAAGGAGCCAAATCCAGTTGATGAGAAACAACCTACTCCAACAGAGAAACCAGCAGCCAGCGGAAATGAAATAGCATGAGTGTTAGATTGATTTCGTAAATTACTAGTCTCCAATTTCCTAAATTTAATTTCTAAATTTTTATTTTTTTTTCTATTAAACACTTAGATTGCTATCTTGTTATTTGGATTAAGTTTTATGTGATGCTTGGACTTTTGGATATTTAAATATGTACTAGTATTTTCACCGTTCGTTGTACGGAATATATTTTGTTATAAAATTCTAAGAATATTTAGATCGATATAGGATTATATAAAGAATTAATTTCACTTTTGGTCCCACGACTTTTGAGTTCTTATCACTTTTGGTGCACAACTTTAAATTTTTTTAATTTTAGTGCCTAACTTTGTTATTTTTATCAGTTTAGGTCTTTCTAGCCAAATTGACGGTAAAATATTTCCAAATTTTATATTTTAGGGGCAAAATCGTCATCCCATGAAAAGATCTTCAATATTTAAACAAAAGAAAAATCATATTAAGAGAAAAAGAAGAGTTTGCCAATGGTCAAAACTATAAATCTCATAGATCTGTCTGGTTTCTGCCCATCTTCCCCATTATTCTCATCATCAAACACCTATAGATATGATTTTACGGTGATTTTGTTTAGATATTGAAGATGTTTCCTTGGGATGACGATTTTACCCCTAACAATATAAAATCCAACAACATTTCACTGTCAATTTGGCCGAAAGGACCAAAATTGATAAAAATAACAAAGTTAGGCACCAAAATTAAAAAATTTTAAAGTTGTGCACCAAAAGTGATAGAACATCAAAAGTCGTGGGACCAAAAGTGAAATTAATTCTTATATAAATTATAACATTCAATATTATATAGTGCAATTGATAAAATTTGTTGAACGAGCAAATAATTGCCCAATTATCCGTGCGATATGCGGATAAATTTTTTTATTATATATTTAGATAATAAAATTAAAGATAAAATTATAAAAAATTCTAATACTGAACGTGTACATTTATTTGATTATAATTTATAAGATTAGTGCAAAAGTATCACTCAATTAATTGAATAATATAAGACTCATTTGTCTGCAATTATCTTTAAAAAATCGATATGTAATATGATTTATGTAATTAAATTATTACTAAAATAAATATGGAAAAAATGATAAATAATTTACTTTTAATTATTATAAAAATAAATACAACGATCAATGTTTAGCTTAATTATCATAATAATTATTAGTCAATTATTATTAATCAATTATACTAATATATATGCAATTATACTTTTATACATTAAGTATATTCATTTTCAGCATATCACATTTAGTTTTTTCCAATCCTCATCCTCCATATCTGAATGAATTAATTGTAATTATTATAAAAATCTAACAATCCATGTTTAATTGCAATTATACTAATATTCGTGTAATTATTAACTTAATTAACATAATAATTATTATTTAATTATACTAATATTTATGTAATTAATTTCTTAATTAGCATAATAATTATTAGGTAATTATATTAATATTGTGCAATTATACTTTTTTTTTTGAAAAAAAAAAAAGGTGGGAGAAAATCCAATATCAGTAGCTGATCCTCACCATGGACGAGACTCTTAAAAGGCCAAGCTCATCCTCTCTCAAGGCTTACTTCATGCTCTCGTTATTCAGCACAAAGTCCTTCACCTGCTTGTTCCGCTCGGGGACGAATTTGGCAATCCTGTCCGCCACTTTGTTTTGCTCCTTTGGAATGTGCTGAATTTGGATTAACCAGTCCCATCTCCTTGCTGCACGACAGAGAGTGATAATGTTCCTTCCCAGACCATCATAGTTCCCTTCTGTCGTGATGAGTTTGACGGCCTCAATGCAATCAGATTCCACGATGTGCAATTATACTTTTATACCATGTTTAATTGTAATTATACTAATATTTATGTATTTATTAGGTTAATTAACATAATAGTTATTAGATTTTATATAGTAATATAGTTTGAGTGGAAATTATAAAAGTAGGATTTTGTTTTTATTTTCACCAAAAAAAAAAATTGTTTTTATTAGTAGTATAGATAGATATTGATAGATTTATATTTAAAATAATTACATTTAAAAATTAAAAAAAAAAATTAGCATTTAAATTTTATATGATTAATATAGTGCATAAGTATATGTATGTATACATGTATTTAAAAAAAATAAATATTTATGAACACATATATTGTAAATTTTATAAGTTTTTTTCCTTAATTATATTTCCTATTTATTAATTATAATTAAGGAAACTGCATGTACAAATGAAAAGAATTTAATTATTAAATTTTATGAATTAATATAGTCCGTAACTATATTGAGCATAAATCATTAAAACTATGAATCATTACCATTATTTTGAGTACAATCCATTCTTTAATATAATTTTAGTTATTTTATGATATTTTGGACATAAATCATTACTATATTATGAATATAAATCATTAAACTAAATCATTATCATTATTTTAAGCTTAAATCAATACAAATATTAATATTTACTTTAATTTAAATATAAGATTGAAAATATATACAATTAAATTTGAATAAAATAAAATTATTTCAATTTAAAAAATTTTGAACCGAAATACAAAACAAATAAATTTATGGGTGAAGTGCCAAATAGCACAATGAACTCCAGCGAAATGTCATGCCAGAACCTAATCTTACATAAGTGATTATTCGATTCACAAACCAAAAAAAAAAAAAAAAAATGTTTGCCTAGCCTTTTTTACAGGTCTCCCTATTGCCTTGGTGACATCGCTCCGATAAAAATATGACGTGGAAGCTGATTTGTACATTTCCTACTAATTGTGCTTATTTATAACGGAGTCTTCTTCTTCCTATCGCAAAGCTATTGTATATGAAGTCACAGCTCCAGTTTCCAGTTCCATTTCAGTTTCCGACGACCCAATAGTTGGCTCCAGTTCCTCCGTCGAAGCCACAGCTCTACAAGATATCATCTTCCTCAACTTCATCATGTGTTACGGGTGTTAGAGTAAATATGGAGTACGCGCCTAGTGTTTATTATAATTGTGGGTTGAAAGCTCCAATTTGCACAAGTAGAGAATCGGGAAAGCAATTCTTTGCGTGTCAAAGATGGAAGGTACGCAGTTAGTGAAATTTTGTATGAATTTTGAGTTTTCAATTGTATTAAAATTTAAAGCTAGGATTTGTTCGTTGTTTGAGTATTTTATTTGGTTATTTGATTTTGGTAATTTGATAACACTGCAAACCTGCAATTTGATAGCTTTGGTAATTTGTTTTTTGTAATTTGATAGCACTGCAAATCTGCAATTTGATAGTTTTGGTAATTTGATATCTTTTGGTAATTAAAGCTATGGTTTGTTCATTGTATAGGATGGAAATGGTTGTGGCTTCTTTCTTTGGAAGGATCACAATGCAAGAAGGGTCGAAGGTGAGCATGAAGACCTAAAGAAGATGGTGGTGTTTTTGAGGCGTGAAATCGAAGTTGCTAAACAATTAATTGTAAATAAGTATACTGGTATGAAAAAAGAAAATCAAATGTTGAGGATCAAGTGTGTTGTTCTCCTAATTGTAATTGTGGTCCTTCTAGCAAAAATTTGTAGTTAGAAATTATAATGGTTTGACATTGTAATGAAAATTTGGTAGTTTGCATTTTAAGTTTCCAGTTTGCATTGTTGAAGCCAATTTCCAGTTTGCAATTTTAAGCCAATTTCCAGTTTGCAATTTAAAGTCATAAATCACTACTATACATACAGTAAATGAATATATGCACAAATCAATTCCAATGTTTTGTCAGCTGCCTAACTGTAAATGAATGCATAATATACAGTAAGCCATAAATCAATACCATACAGAAGCTAAGCCATAAATCAATGCATAAGTACCTTGCCATAAATCATTAAGCATTACCAGTACATAAGGCCATTAGCCAATAAGTCATACTACATTGGCAACTACAATAGCCAATAAATCATACTACATAGAATACATTTAGATTTACATAGAATACATAAGCCAAAACAGTCAGATTTGCATGTTTGCACTGGTATCAAAAAGTCCATGCCAAAACAGTCAAATTTGCCAAAAAGTCCATGCCAAAACAGTTAGATTTGCCAAAAAGTCCAGCCAAAATAGTTAGATTTGCCAAAAAGTCCTTGGCAATACAGTCAATCATGCCATAGACGTCTTCAATTTTGTGTGCAATCTACAAGCATAAACAAAAACAAAAGATTAGTATGATAATCTAACGCTCCAACAACAAATAGCAGCAACCCACATTAACAGTTTGTACCATTACCTGGCATTCCAATGTTGCTTTCTTGAGTTAACAATCCATTATCAACACTATCAGCAGCTCTTCCTGTGAGACCACTTGCAGCAGACATGGCTCTTCCACCACTAGCAACACCCCTTCCTCTACCTCTAGCTCTTCTTGTGAGACCACTTGCAGCAGACATGCCTCTTCCTCTGACAGTAGAAGTACCAGCTTGTCCTTGTTGGGTAGTACAATATCTTTTGTTGTATTCCTTCCATGGTTGCAGTAGGCGCTAGGCACTAGTCGGGTGCCTGGGCAGCGCCTAAGCGGTCTAGGCGGGCACCAAAAAAATTTTAAAAAAATAGTGACAGACTTGTAGTTTGACAATTTTAAGAGATTGTTTTCAACATTCAATCAAATAACACAAATAAATGGAATAACGATAATTTATAAGTCATAACATCATAATAATATTAAAATCAATAATTAATGAAATACAACATGGGACAAAATTGGTCAAAATTAGTCAAAATCAGACGAAATCAATCAAAATCGGACAAAATCGATCGACTCGGCCGAGTTGGCCGATTTTGACCGAGTTTGGCCGAGTTGGCCGCCTAGGAGGCTGGCCGAGTAATGGCCGACTATAATCAAAAGCGTCACGGCATGGCGCCGCCTAGTGCCGAGGAGGCCGCCTAGGCGCCGAGGAGGCCGAGTTTCACAACACTGGTCCCTTCCCCTTGCATAGCTGACATGTCATTATCCTTCCCTTCCTTGAAAGCTTTCTAACCTCTTCGCTCATTTTGTTTTTGTCCTTGTTCTTTTCATGATCTTCAAGCTTCTTTTTTTTTTTTTTGGCATGCCAGTCATCTTCCTTGGAACTGGAGCACG